AAATTTTGGGGGGCTCGTACGCGGATACCACGCTTACCCGGGGGCTGGATTTGAGCTCATTAGTACATACTTGGACGGGGAACAATCCCTTAAAATTTCAGCTTTCTAGCTTTTCAGATCCCCGAGTTATGAACTTGCTCGAAAAAAACTTTGGCGGGTCCGTACCACGCGGGGTATGGCGCCAATTCTGGGGATTGAGGCCCGTACGTGCATGTAGATCAAGTCCCCAAAGTTTCAGCTCCGTAGCTTTTGTAGGTCTTGAGATGAAAAGCCGCGACACACACACACACACATACACACACACACACACACACGCACACAAACCTCTCGTCAATATGCGTCTTTCGCATTGCATTGCTGCAAAAAACGCATAAAAACTGCACGAGTTTCTTTGTTCGATGTTCACAAGACCACTCCGCCACTCAAAATTTTCAGCAGCAAATTTAATGCTGAGTGTCGGCAAGAAACCGCCTTAATCTGTGCTTCGAAAAAGTGGTCCGCACATCTATCTATTAACCATGCTAGCAGGCGAATGTTTTTGGCTAAATATTACTGCTTGCGTCACCATTAAATGGCTTGATTTGCCGCGCAGCCGTATTGACGAACGAAGAGGAGAGGTCAGCCTTTTTATGCTTTTTTTTGCATCTCGGCAATGCAGAAAACGCATACTGGCGAGGGGTTGTGTGTGTATGTGTCTGTGTGTTCGTCTATACCGATTTTTCATCTCCGTATGCATGTACGGGGCCCCATCCCCAAAATGGGCACATTTACTCGCGTGGTACTCACATACTTGCCCGTGAAAGTTTTTTAGGGGCAAGCTGCTAAATTGGGAACCAGAAAAGCTAAAAAGCTGAAATTTTAAGGGGATTTCTTCATTCATGTAGGTCTTAATCAGTTCAAAACTAGCCTCCAGTTATGCGTGGTTCGTAGGTACGAGCCCGTGAAAGTTTTTTGCGGGTAAGTCGTTAAATCAGGGACCAGGGAAGCTAGAAAGTTGAAATTTTAAAGGGATTTTTCTGACAGTCTTGGCAGCCAGTCTCAATTCTTTTAGCTAGAGGTATCTATAGAAAAAAAGTTCCGTTAGCGACAAAAATCTGCGGGGAACTATGGAAAAAAGCATCCTCGCACCGACAGTCGGTGCGCTGGCTATTTTTTTTACTTGTGTTTTTAAACGCACACGATGGATCTGTAATTAGAGAAAAAGCTAAATTCGTTTACTATTTCT